TGAGTCCAACCTTTCGTAATTTTTGAGAGTTACGAGGAGAAATTTTCCGGTATTGCACAAGGCGAACCGTATAAATAAAGCTATTCGTAGCACAAGGTTTACTTTCTATCGTTGTGTTCGTTGTCTTTCGTAGTTAGTACTGTTATCGGGATATTATAAATCTTTCATCATGGTCTACTGTAGCGCTGTGGGTTGCAATAATGATTCTCGATATGTTGGTAGAAAGCAAGGGGTAAGCTACCACAGATTTCCCACTGATGATAAGCTCTTGAAAGAGTGGCTGGCGAAATTATCCCGGCTAGATCTTGTTGTTACAAAAGATTCCAGGGTATGTTCGCTTCACTTCGAACCTGAATGCTACGAGCGTGACCTAAAAGCTGAACTTCTTGGACTTAAATCTACCCAACATCATTTGAAGCCAGATGCAGTGCCAACAATTTTCGATCACCGTCCGAAAAAGAAGCCGAGACTATCATCTGAGAGGCGCCTCCAGGAGAGATCTAAACAACAGGTAAGGATTGTCAATTCGTATTAAAAAAAAAAAGAGTTTGCGTGCTGATCTTATGGTAGACTATTATCCACGGATGTTCATAAACGCGGTCACGCAATGTTAAAACCTGCAATAATGAAAAGGCCCTTTGCTGTATTTTCTCATTGGAATATTAATCATTTTCTAAATCTGGGTTGGTGATAGAGGCTAATTCCTTCTATTGCAGTTCATTAGCTCTGTGACATCCTCTCACCCTGCCCTACCTGTTGCTGTTGGAGAACCTAGTACTTCAAGTGCATGTGACCAAACAGCCAGCCCCAGTGAACAAGTTCTTGAGGAACCTGAGAATGTGAAGATCGCATCGGTTCCTACTAGCTCGCCTATAGAGACGCATGATTTTGGATGTCAAGTTAACACTCGAGGAGAGAGTCTTATGCTGAAATCAGTAGGGACCCAAACACCTGACTTCTTTCGTCTTCGTGACCAGTACACTCAGACGGAACCAGGACTTTTTGATGGGGAAGCCTGGTTCTTTAACACTGAAGAAGAACCAGGCAGTGAAAATGAGAGTATTGAAAATGTATCCCCTCATAAAGACCCATCTTATATCCCCTCTAAAAGTGAGGAAAGTGATGAGGATGAGGAGGAAGAAGTTTCAATGGCAGTACCATCAAAGTTGAAACCTCAAACTCCCCAAAATGACTGCAAATTCCTAGTATTTATGGAACAATTGGATGAACTTTTGCATCGATGCCCTACATGTGGGGCAGTAGTAAGCAAAAGAGAAACGTCCACTCGGGGAAGTCAACTATGTGTAACCCTGAAATGTAAAAATGGGCACATAAAATTTTGGAAGAGTCAACCCATGCTCAAAGGGATGGCTGCTGGAAACTTGTTACTGGCTTCAGCAATTTTACTAAGTGGAGCAACGTACACAAAAATAGCATCTTTATCTGAAATTTTGAACTGGAAAATTTTTAGTGAAAAGACATTTTACAACATTCAAAATATGTACTTATTTCCTGTAATTAATGAAGCTTGGCAGGCGGAGCAAAATTCTGTTTTCAGTGACCTTGAAATTGAAGACCTGTGGCTGTCTGGAGATGGTCGATGTGACAGTCCCGGACACAGTGCTAAATATGGGACATACACCATGATCGATCAATTCAGTGACAAGATAATTGACTTTCAAATTGTTCAGGTTAGTGAGGTGACCAGCAGCAATGCAATGGAAAGGGAGGGGTTTAAAAGATGTATGGAGAATATTCATGACAGAGGAGCCAACATAAAAGTAGTCGCCACAGATCGCCATGTCAGTATACGGTCTGATATGAAAAAGAATTTTCCTCATGTACAACACCAGTTCGATGTTTGGCATGTAGCAAAAAGTATCACTAAAAAACTCACAGAAAAGGCCAAGAGGAAAGAATGTAGTGAACTTTTCCCCTGGATCAAGTCAGTCTCTAACCATCTTTGGTGGTGTGCAGACACTTGCGAGGGGGATAAGAATCTCTTACGTGAGAAGTGGATCTCCATTGTCCACCACTCAGCCAACATCCACTCATGGGACAGTGCTGACTTGTATCATGAATGTCCCCACCCACCCATCCCTAGAGAGGAGGCAAGGACAAAGCGGTGGCTTCGTCCTGGTTCCCCTGCACACGAGGCTCTTAAGGAGGTTGTTTTTGACAAGACCCTCCTTAAGGACATCGAGCAATTAACACTAAACTGCCACACTGGAACACTGGAAGTGTACCACAGTGTACAACTGAAGTACCTTTCCAAGCGGCAGCACTTCTCATACAAGGGCATGGTTGCTCGCACACAGTTAGCAGCCCTCGATCACAACGCTAACACTGGGAGGCAGCAAGCTACTGTTTCAAGGGGCGAGAATGAGGGGGAACTGAGGTACAAGGTTGTGTTCCCAAAGCAAACGAAGGAATGGGTTGCAAAACCTATCATGGAGAAGACAACAAGAGAACACTTAAAACCCATGCTTGATTCAATAGTGGCAAGGAAGTTGCAAGATGCTGCTGATCGGAGCGCAACACTCACAGCACCTCACATCCCACGTAACATTGCTACAAAACCTCGGCCTGCCAAAGCAGATGTCATTGCAAAGCACACATCAAGATTTCATGATTCTATATAAACACACAAATACATATTTTATTGTTGTAATACCAAAAAGTGCAATGTATGTATAATACAGGTTAGCTTTAAGTGTTTTGATTGAATTCAATCATATTATTTGGTTTTTCTATCAATCTTAATCCTTACTCTCTTGGGAGTGGCCAAACTCTAGTCCAAAATTCTTCAAACTCAGTCTAATATGTCAATTCACAAAATAGGACTTATTTTCACCAGTAAAGAGATGTACCTGAAGAAATTTCACTTGAATGGCACCTCAGTTCTACCCGAAGAAATTTCACTTGAATGGTCACCTCACAGAATTTCATGCACAGAGTTACGTTCGTGATTTAAAAATACATTGACTCTAGGGAGAATAAGAGTTAAGATAAATATTTACATGTCAAGATTACATCAAAGAGGAGACAAATTTCGCAGATGTCCGACACAAGTCATGCTTTAATTATTTTTTTTTTTTTCACTGATAAAAAATGCGGCTGATTGCTCATACAAAATTGAATTTAAATACTGAATATTACTGTATTACTACGACCGAAACATTTTCCATAACTGCTTTGCAACCTACAGGATTTCACTTATAATAACAAAATGCTGTTGATTGTCCGGTCAAGATTTTATTTTCGAAAAATACTGAAAATTATTAAAACTCGCTGAAATATTTCAATTACTATTTTGCAACCTTCTAATTATTCAATAACCAATTACTTTAAATTTAAAAGGAGATGCAACAAAATGGATTGAAGTAAAACATAACAATTTTTATACAGATAAGCTTAATTTTTATTTTTTTAGTTAGACAATGTACATGCATTTGCGAAGGATGAAACGATCTGCAAGGATTTTTATGCCCGGTTGTCATAAGGTAAAACAATGTTTACACGCCAAGACCAGGATTGTTTACCTTGAAACTAACTTAGCTCGAGTTCTGCTTCCTTGAACCCGGCATATTGTCCAGTTTCATCAGGAAACTCGTGTCGAATGGCTTTCACAACACACGCTGGAATCACTCGCCGATTTTTTTTTCCTAAGGCGCCATGTGCCCACCATGTAAACTGGCGATAAGCTGCTAAGCGCCAAGTTCTAGGAAAATAGAAAAAGCAAAATAAGCATAAATAGAAAATATTTACAGAGTACATGCTTGGTGGTACGATCCTTCGGGCCAAAAAAAAAAGAAAAAAAAAAAAGCAACAACTCACCTGTTCTCAATGAGATCCGGCAAGGGATTACAGCGTATGTTGTGAATTGCCACTAGAGCAGTATTTAACACGTCAGTATCAAGGCAAATAATCCTGAATTTGGCGTGCTCCGTAATACATCCAACTCCTACCAGACAAAAACAAATAATAAATAATCCTTTTGACCGCGATGTCCTTCTCAGTATTCTTAGTGTATACATCGAGGGAAAAGAAGCAACCTAAAACAAAAACAAACCTGATTCATCTAACTTTTGATTCAGTTCCGCCAGTTCTTGGCAACAAAAACACTCTTCCTCCGTTGCCATTGCCACGCATTCTTCACAAGAGCACCATTCGGTGCTGCCGATTCTTCCTCTCGCATCTCGTTGATTTGTATCACCTGACTCACTTTCTTCCTCCAGATCAATTGGTTCTTGGCCAGGAGGATACGTGGGTTCAAACTGAAATGGTTGAACTCCGCTCATTACGTTAAATCGATATTTTTTACTGAAACAGATGCTGCGAGGAGATCCAAAGGTTGATGCTATAAGTACGCGCTACTGTGCGATTGCGAGCCTTCCCCATACCTTACGTCATAACATGCCGCTGACAGTTAAGATGAGCCCACGATGATCGGGCCCAAAAGGCGCGAAAACCAAGACTTCAAACCGATTTTTTGGGCAAAAAATAATAAACGAACCAGAAGAAAGAGCAAAACTCAATTTTTTACACCTACAGCCACCTAAAAAACAATACAAAAATGGCCGGATTTTTTACTTCAGTTCTCCTTTAAATAGATCATTTTAACTTTTTGAGTTCATGATTCAACTTACATTTTTCTTCTTTTCTTTTTAACGTTAGGCCAGGTTGTTTTAACTTTGTTATCACTGTACACTGAATAATCTTGCCATTTATTTGTAAGGAATAAAAAAAGGAAACTAATCCACCAGATTATTATAGATAGCTAGATTGAATTCCCTGACTGGATTGAGATTTACTCAGAGAACAATCAAGGACAACACTATCCATCTTTTGAACAATATGAGGGGCTGGTAAAGCTGACCAAAGTTCATTAAGTGACTTGAAGGAGCCCACCCCTGCTATCCTCCTAAATTGACCCTTCCTCAGACGTGAGGGGTAAAAAAAACGTGGTAATTTGCAAGAAACATTAAGCTTAGTTAGTGTTAAAAGAGAAAGAACATTGACTTACAGTATAAACTGTTTAACTTTTCCTTGTCTAAGGCAGTATTTGCCCCACCAGCAACATTAGTGATCCCTTTCAGGGAGGAGCATCTTAATTGTTCCTCAGTGAAAAGGTAAAATAAAACTTTCTTCAGTCCTTCAAATGGGGAAGTCATACGGGAAACAAGTCCCTGCAAATGTTCCTGCAGTGAAAAAAATACATTTACATTGATAATCAATTGTCAACATATATAATGCAAGCATCTAGAGCTGGCAGTGTGTTTGTTTCAACAAACTCATCAAAATTCGATCTAATTACTAGCAACTGCTTGCCATCGAGCCTTCTTTGAGATTTTCTATGTTTTGTTCCCTCCTCTGCTAAATATTGACAAAGGGAAAGCAGTCATTATTTAAGTTCATTTTATTTTTGGTCAGACTATAAGCCAGAATATTCCCTGAGATGGACAGTCGGGGCTGGTCCTAAAGGTGTCTGTCTTAGAGAGTGAGATTTATTCAGTGTACATGGCTGTAAAATGCTCTTATAGTAGTTTTAGTTGAGCAAGAAGTAACTCAAACCAAAGAAAATGACTCTCTTTCTAGAAAAAGTTGGAGGGTTCTTTTTGTAAGGCCAGGTACAATACTGGTAAATTGCCATTTCCCTTTTTTGAGAGTAGGACTAGACAGCTGTTAATTTTACATTTGTACTTTTACTGACAGTAGTGAAACATGAAGCTACATAAGGTTACATGTACCTTGGAGCCTTTGTTGGCTTTTTTCAGCTGTTGGACTTCGTTACGTAGCATCTCCACCTCAGCCTTCAGCCACTCGAACTCTGAGGTGAAGTGAGAAGCAAAGGACTCCCACTCACTGCTCCTGTTAGTTGCTTCTGGACGACACAGAGGGTTTAGTTCAATAAGGTCATCTGTGTCACTGTCATCCAGCATGGACATGTGTGAAGGCCTCATCTGCACACTATTTGTTTGAAGAGGTGTTCTTAGTTGCTGGTTTTCATGGCTTGGCTGGGGTGTGCTATTCCCAGAATAATGTGACATGGTATGAAGTTGCTGTTTACTGTTTACTGGTGTTGTGTTTATGGTGTGTGCTGGAACAGTCTTTTGTTGGTTTGTTTCATGTGTGTATACTGGTGTTCTACTTGGTTGCAGTGGTGATGCCTGTTGTTGGTCTGAAATGCGTGTGTGTGATGGTGTACTGGAAATAGGATATGGTGATACTTGTGGTGTATAATCACTTTGTGCATGTGATGTACGAATTTGAGGTGGTGGTGGTACATGTACCAGCATCTCACTGTCGCCAGCAACAAGTGGCTGCACACTAGCACTTGGGGTACAGGTCCCTTCTGCCCGTCTGCCATTTAAAATTGCCTGTATTCTCTCCTCTTGCACAGTATGCTGCAACTTCCAATAAGTTAAATAGAAATCATTAATATTTAATTTAGGACAACTTAGGATCAGGGTTGTTTTGAAATTTTCAATAGCTTTCTGGACTAGATGTATGAGGAATAATAAAAGATTCCACTTGCTTCACTTATTTTGATAGAAAAAGGCAAAATTTGTGATGATGTATTGGTTATCTTAAATGCTTGTTTGGAAGAAATCACTCATTTCAAGGCTGTGCTCTACGAAAAATTGAAGGGAGCCCAGCACTCTGAACTTGTGAAACTCAGGGTGCCCAGCATATGATTTGTATGAAAAACTCAGATTTTCTAGTCGCCCAAGAGTAAAAGTTAGGCTCCAGGGGCCACTGGGTGCTGCTAGAGCAGAGACCTGCATTTAGTTCTTTGGAAATCTCAACCTTGAAAAAACTCTTAAGGTTAACTGTGTGTGTACATGCTCTTGTGTATAATGCGCCAATCAATTTGGGCAACCCCCAGGGCATTTTAATTTTTTCAGCAAGACTGTTCAAATTCCCATCCCATTAGGCCAATATGATGACGTGAAATTCATTACTATACCCAGTACACAGCTGCATGTAATTGCAATAGCTTCCCCTGAATTTCTTATTATTTGACAATGTTTGTACACTTCTATGTAGATCTTGTCCGGTAAACCACCCCATTTTACAAAGAAAATAAACTAGAAACTTTCAGTTCAAATTACCCACCCCACAAAGGCAAAGGTCAAATTCCCTACTTCCCGGGCACAATTTAAACCCTTTTACTGTCAGAGTGAATGATGGAGTCTGGTACAATGGTTCTAACTTTTGAGTTTGCGGATAAAATCTTGCTGTTACCATTCAAATGAAACCTCTTTGGCAGTACTTTCACATGGTACTATTTGTTTTTTCATCATTTAACAAAATGAAATTTAAATACTTTGGAAGTGAAAGGGTTAAGACAAATGCCCGGGGGACGATGTTGAAGTTTCAATTTGATCGATGCATAAGACACCACAAATTATGAGCAACAGGATGGCCAATCATTGAAATGAAATAACTTCAAGGTTTTTTTTTAAAGACATAATCAGATGTATATTTTTCACCCGGGTATTGCTCTTGCTTTTCTCTTCCCCATTTTTCTACGCAGCCCCTTTTGTTCTTTTTCGGGCCTCTTTAGCCTTTTTAGGCTCAGGTTCTCTCACTTCTGGTGATTCACCATCATCTTGAAAGAAAAAGGAATGTCATGTTATTGAATGAGCTTAATAAATGCTTATTTTTAATTTTTTTCTTAAAAGTTGCACTGTATTACAACATCAAATAGCTGGAGGACTTCCTTGTAACAATTTTGAAAATTTAACTACCCTGCTATAAGAGGCAACTTTTTCTTTGACTTTGTATAATTTCGTTGAGCGGAAGGGCAGGATGGGAAAAGACGTCTTCTAGCAGGGTAAGATTTAACATGATTCACAGCTAAACTTTACCTTCGGCAACTGAATCCAGTATCTTTTGAGACGGCTTCCTTGCCGTTTCATCTTTTACCTTGGCTGTCTACATGTACATAAAAGCAAGCAAATTGTCTTTTGATATAAGTGCCTGTAATAAGAGCATGAATCTCAAAGAGTAGATCGGGAGTAGATCGGGAAGGGAAATCAATTTTGGTTTAAATAAACTTATGTTTTATCGCAATCCAAAATTGAGAGTTCGATCGGTATTCTACTGTATCACTATCAACACTTACCTGGCACTTGGACCTGGCTTTTGTTTAACAGGCTTGCTTCAAATTCATTAAGGCTGGTTTTCACTAGCGACGGAGTCGGAGTTGGAGTCGTAAGCGGAGTCGTAAGAGCGCTTATGACCTGGTGAAAATCAAAAATCGGAGTCGTAAGCGGAGTCATAAGCGCGACGGAATCGGAGTCAGAAGAATCAGAACGTTTCCATTTTCTTCCGACTCCGCTTACGACTCCGTCGCTTACGTTCCGCTTATGATCTAGTGAAAACTACATTGTCGGAGTCGGAAGCAGAAGCGGAAGGATAAGCCAATCAAAATGCACGTTCCCACGCTTTGCGATTGGTTTGGTTCTTCTGCTTCTGCTTCCGACTCCGACAATCTGGTTTTCACTAGATCATGAACGGAACGTAAGCGGAATTGGAACGCTGTTTTCACCAGATCATAAGCTCGACACTTCTGATTACGACTCCGACTCCGTCGCTAGTGAAAACCAGCCTTTAGCCTTCGATCTCGTTGCTGTAAAATAAAATAGGAGTAAAACGCAAAGTTAGAAATACAAAGGCTTAATTCCACGAGCCAGATATCTATTTGATGTAGGATAAAGATCAGTTCTTATATCGACAGCAAGTTAAATATCCATTTTATCGAAATATGCGATAAGTAGACGAATGAATGCATTTTTACTTACGAAATACTTTCAGCACAATGGCTTTGTCGGTCTTAGAAGTGACGCTAACAGTCGCTCCTTCCTAGATGTTTTTATTGTTTACCTGATTGTCCTTAAGGACCGAGATACTATTCTCTCAAACCCATTGAACAACAAGAAGAACCATTGTGAGACATTTAAATAGAAGGAGAACAAGGCAAAAGTCACGGCAGGATGAATAGCGAATCGATGAATGGATTCAAAAATGGCGGTATGTGTTCCGTCCACCGCTCAGCTGCATTCATGTGCCTGTTCCGTAGCGCTTCCTCTCTTGCCGCAAGGGTGTCACGCCATGTGGGATGAGGGATGTATGGCGGAAGGAGGCGATAAGACCACAGGTAATATTAGAGTACTGAACTTTAGAACCTTTCAAGAGAATTCTCTCCTTTTTTGTCCATTAGAGCTTACATTTTTCACCGGAAACATTTCTAAACTTTTTTTTTTCAGCAACTTACGGCGGAATATCAGCGTAAAATACAATTGCTTAAGAACACTTCCATGGCTGAACTAATCAGTTGAAGCAAGGAATTTCTGGGTTTAACAAAGAAACCATGCAAACAAGCCCGTTATGAATACAGCTCAGACCCTGTAACTGGTCTGCGTAACGATGAAGGGACCTACACTGGTCAGGTTCCGAATCGAACACGAGGGTATGGTATTTTTAATGTCTATAATAACATGCATTTGTTGCTCATTTCTAGATACCCGGCAGCCAGGAACTGTTTTCAAAAAACAAGATACCTGCCAGTCAGAAGTCAATATTTATTATCTCCAAGGGGAAATTTCGCTTACTAGTTGTGCAATAGAGTTGAATTGTTTTTAACATGCTGACTTGACATTTGTTTTTCTTTTGGTTAGTTTTGTAATTTAAGTGAAAAACCTTCTTTCTTCTCATAAAAATTAGCTGACCACAGGCCATTTAAGCCCCTGGCTTTGGCTTTACCCATGTATATTTTCTAATGTGTGATGTGTAATAACAAAATAGTAGTAGTTGACACTACAGCCGCCCACGCTCTGTTAAGAACATGCACTCAATGACTATTCAGGAGTACCACTTGAAGTTTGGGACAAATACGAAACTTTATAATGGGTTAAAAAGCAAAGGTAAAAAAGACCAAATGGAGAATTGTGACATTTTGAATGCAAATGCTGAGGAAGGAAGTGGTACTGATAGTGTGTGTGACAATGATAGCAGCATAGCTAACCCTTTCACTCCTTAACCAAGCTATGGCAAATTGAGTTATCACTGTCACTTATAAATCCGTGGATAAAATCCTATGGTGTTACTATAAGATTAAAATGAAACCTATTTGGCAGAACTATTGCATAGTACTTCTACCATTATATTCTATTTTTATTATTTCACAGAAATTATAAGATTAGGAAGGTTCCTAGAATTTTTTACTGTGCCACTTGAGGAGCAAGTGGTTTTTTAATGCACTCTCCCTATGATTTTGTTATATGCTAAAAAAGATAGCACTCTGTGAAACTGCCACTAAAGAAGCTCACACTTAAGGATTTCATCCACAGAGTAAAAAGTTTCAACCACGTTACAAGACTCTAACATACACCATGGGAGTGAAACTAGGGTTTAGAAATTCTGTTCAATTTTCAAAGAAAACACTAGTCTTCTTGTGCTATATAATACATTGGCTCCCACACCTTAAAAAGGCGTCTCTGCTATTTAAAAAAATCCCTATGATTAAGTTTACTAAGACAGTCAACTTTAAATTTCTTGAAGCACTGGTACTTTCTTCCAGGCTGCAAATCAAATACCTTTTCGTCAGTCAGATCCTTTGTAATTTGAAGAACTGTCTCTCTTAAATGCTTGGCACTATGGTAACCACTTTAGCTTGCAAGGAGGCAGTCATTGTCTACATTGGCAATGAGATGTTCTAGTGCTGTCAAAGCTCTGGTAATTCTCTGCGCAGCCGATTCACTTACATTTGCAAGAACGATAGTACACCAAAATTTCCTATCACCAAGCTGTTTTAAAGCGGTCTTCAGTAATTTATTGAGGTGTGCCATCCTTAAGTCAAGTGGCATGTTGACCCCAGTTTTTCCCAGTGCATTAAAAAATCTGTTATGAATGAGCTCAAATGCCATGCCAGGGGAGAGTATTGCATAAAATTTGGCTAGAAAGAAAAGCACAACATGGGCATATTTCACCCGACCATATGTGAAAAGAAATAGGAGAGCAATTTTAATAGAATGCAGTAGTCTTCTTGGATCCCCTTCTTTTACTGCATCAGTGAACAGCATGATAAATAAGCCAAATGTCAGTCGGGCGGTGTGGTAGTTCCTTTTGTAGTCCTCTTGTGAAGTCTCCTACTCACTCTGCTCATTTTCAGTTGTCATCTCCTCAGAACTTGAGGTAGGCAAGTCAGGGTGTATTTGTCTCTCATGTCTTGAAATACAATAGGCCACTTATAAATGCCTAACCATCTTTACAAATAACCAACAGTTGCTTGTACTTGCAGAGGTTTATGGAAGCCCATACATTTCATTAATTTCACATACCTGTTTCTACCTTGTTTGGTTTTGTATGTTTTCCCACAGTTTCCTCTGCATCTGAAATTACCAAACTGGTCCATTTCCCCATTGATGTCCCCGGCTGTTCTTCAATTACGAAGTTGTGCATTTGTCTCTCATGACTATGAACATAAATATTGTACAAGCATCAACAGTGCCAATATAAAAATAATGTAAAGAGATATACAGTGTTAGTTATTAATATTTAAAGGGCTGAAAAAGAAATACCCACCATGAAAATAGTGAGGTTAGTTGAACCTCTGGCCACATTGCCTGCATAGGTATCCATTTCGATCAAGTTCATCTAGTTGACTGACATCAACACTGAGTGCCTGAAGTTTGTCAGATGTGTGCTGAAACACGTACTGTTCTAAAAATGTTTTAATTTCACCAAAAAGCCATGGTTGTTTTTTTTCCTTCACTCCATTGTAATAATACTAATTCATCTGGTATGTCTCGCAGCTGCAGAGAGTCTGAACAAGAGAAATGTGGTCATTACTTTGCAGAAAGTCATTATAAACAGACAGTCGAAAATAATCTCTCTCACGTAAGTTCCTTTCATTGCCTTCATAGTATAGAACTTAAGAATCCTGAAATCCTCTCAAACATGATAACTAATGAAAAATTTATACAATACAATCTTTAACTTATTTATAGTACAAAAACATTAACTAACATTAAATGTCTTAACGTCAAGATGGCCTCGGCACTGACCACTTTTTTCTTTTTCTTTTATAACTAATAAAATAATTGACTGGCTTGAGGCTAATTAGAGCCCAGTGATCAAAACACATAAATTAATAAAACAAATGATAGACAAATAATTTCCTGAAACCTTCTATGTCATTCATTCCAGTGAATTGCATCCAAGCAGCTAAAATGTGAGCTGTTGTCTCACTGTCATGAAAATCCTTGAATGCATTGTATTGTTTTCTTGGCCCCTGTCTGGCATTAGAACATGCAGATCTGTTGACAAATGTCTCCAAAAAAAAAAATCTGTTTAATTCAACCTTGGGTAGTTCAAAGAGCATATATAACATCTTTGATAGAATAAATGAAAAAGTTAGAATAGTTCATAGAAAAACATATAAACATACCCGTTAAAGTAAAGTTTTCAACTTATTTGACCACTTTATAGGTTGAAACATGCGGATGCTTCCTGAGATAACAAGCAATAAAAGATTAAAATCAGCAACTACAGCAATGCGTGTTTGCATAAACTATGAGGTTGCGATCATTTGACGTTTTAAACCTATATATATTTCACTTCTCAAAAAAGCACCTGATCATTGGTCTCATGTAATTCTCATTGCGCGATCAGCTTCATGTCCGTTGTTAAGAATCTAAGAATCGTGTTTTTACCGACGTTTCTACTAGTGATGTTGTTTCAACACCATCGACAAGTCTGAACTTGAATCAATTCAAGAAGCACGTCGAAAGTTGTGACTGCCTTTCAATTGGTGTGTCAAATTACTTGACAGGTATAACATTCCATTCATGCAAATTACAATCTGTGTTGTTCCGGTATGTGTTTACTGCTCAGATTTCCTACGTTCCAAGTACGCTTCACATTTGTCAAAATTTATATCGTACGTCAGCTTTCAGCTTCGTCAATCAAAAAAGTATCAAACTTTTCGACTAAGTTCAATTGGTTCGTTAATCAAACACACAAAATTGTAGTTTGATGATGTTTGACTTCTGAACTCAGTCAAACTGATTGAGTTTGATACATCACGTAGCCGAACATTCACTACGGCAAGAACAGTTGATAAAAGGCAGCTCAGCGTCACAATATTAGTCTTCAAGTAAGGTTAATATGTTTGTTTGATTTTCGTCCTGCTTCGTATTGCGAAGTCAGGCAAGATGCTGTTTCAGTCGTCGTTCGTTTAACTTCACTGAGCCTTGTAGACATTGTTAAGCCTTCTGTTGCCGCTCTTGCGACAACAATAAACCAGAAACAATACACCAGCTCATACATACTAATCAGTTCTGATGCAAGCCCGTTTTTGAAACCAGCAACGCAGAAAAAGTCAAAATTTCCAGAGCTAATGAGCATATAAAGTCAAAGATCAAAGTTATTCCCCAGGACTATAGAACTGTCGTCAATAAGGGAACGAGAAGTGGAAGTGCAAAGATAGTGAAGGAACATTTTGATACCTTGTGTGACATTTGGGGTGTGTTACGCCGCAAAATGTAACAATTGACGCAAAATGTAACATTAACGCGAAATGTAACAACTTTTGACCCAAAATGTAACAACTTTTTAACGCGAAATGTAACAACTTTTTGACGCAAAATAAAACAATATTTTTAGCGCGAAATGTAACAAGCAAAATGTAACAGCCTTGAAAAAACTTAGAGACTTGAACATGAGCCTTGTAGATAAAGTGTAAATTGTCTGGTGGTTACAAAAACAGTTTATTTATAAAGTTTTCTTATAATGTCAAATAGACTTACAAAACGTTTTACGATAATAGTAACTAAATCCTGAAACAGTCGAACGAATTGTTGTTTAGTACATCTTTCTGCACATATGTGTGACGCTGAAAAGAAAGTTGGCGTTACAACATCCGGGAGGTATTAGATGGGTTAGGATGGTACATTTTTAGCATCCTCTCTCTAGGGAGTTGAGCCCATATGAAATCGAGGGGAGTATTGATGACTGACCATTCTTTTCACACTTTCATCGAGTGAAGACGCTTTCTGTTTTTATCTGACGCTGTCTGTTTTTACCCACCTCCTCCCCTTTTCCCTACCTCTCTGATACGTATTATTGTCAAGTTTATACATTAATATATATAATTTTGTTTTGGCATTTTTTGTGCCCTCACCTTTACTGGGCTAATATTTGAGGTATGTTTTTGCCCTTAGCCATTTTACTCCATAGTAGTCTTTACACTAGAGCCTAAACAAGCTAAGAAATATTTCAAGACAAGTAAATTTTAATTACTTCGAGTAAAATAAAGCTTCATACACAACCGATACTTCTTTACTTCAGGTTAACTTAGGGACGGACCATTGGTTTGGGGGTGGGGAATTTTCAAGCGGCAGGAGTTTTTTTCGTTATCAAATTCTGTATGAAAATTTTAGGCCATAGCATGAATATTTTTTAGGGTTAATTGGCGTGCATGAATTTTTTTCATTTAATTTTCCCTTGCGCGAATATTTTTTTTGTTAGCATGAGAAAAATCATGGCTATAAAAGGAAAGTGTAGCAGAGCAGTCATCCAACTGCGTGAGATAATCAACAGTGTTAAATGGGCCTCGGCATGGTTAAGTTTTAAGGCAGCAGGACTGGGTTGGTATGAAATTTCTCACATTTACTGGAAGTCCGGTAAGAAATGAGAAATTTCATATCTATCTTATTTACTATGTTCAAAATTTTCTTTTGAAAGATTACCTTTCTTAACTTTTACTTTTAACTTGCATTTCAATTAATGATTGGTGCGTGTTTCCTACTGTGTTATTGTTCACATTCCTAGTCATATTCTTTTCGCATAGCTTGGGATGTTTTCCATACGTTATGTTTAATAAGTTAGCGTTGTTGTTATTGTTCATACTGCTTTTGCAAGGTTATACATGACTTGTAACTTTATCACCTGTTTTACGACCTTTATAAGTCTATTTCACATTATAAGAAAACTTTATAAATAAACTGTTTTCGTAACCACCAGACAATTTACACTTTATCTACAAGGCTCATGTCTTAGTCTCTCAGTTATTTCAAGGCTGTAACATTTTGCTTG